TTAATATGATTGGCTTAATTATATTTTTTTTAAAACAATTATTATTATTATTATTATTATTATTATTATTATTATTATTATTATTATTAAATATATGTATACCCTTAGGTCATTTTACATGTTAATCTAAACAGCTAATTTTTTCAAATATCTTTTTACCAATCGTTGATATAATTCGCCGGTCAAATTTGCTAATATAATCCGCTAACGCTAACCGCTAACTGCTGATTGTCAAACAAAGACATTGTGAGGTAGTTCTCACTTCAATTTGTTGGGTGATTTGAATACCCTCTTTGCTGTCAAAAATCCCTAAAGTAGTTAATATGATTGACTTTATTAATTATATATTTTTGTTAATTTTTTCATGGTATTAATAAAATACTTGGTAAATAAATATATAGCATTATTTTGTATTATAACTTTGATATTTAATTAAAAAACAGTGCACAAAAAAGATAATAGACAATGTAATGAATATAATCAATTGATGAATTTGAATGTAAAAAATTTTTACATTGGAGAAATATAAAGACAATATAACTAATAAAATTATTTCTCTTAATTAATTTATTGATAATAATAAAATTTTTTGAATAAAGACATTGTAGACACATTATTCTAAATTAAAGAAATGCATATGTATTATTTTTTGTTGTAGCTACTAAACTATTATTTAATTTAATAAGAGTAAAATAAAGTACTAATTATGCCAACTTTGATTGGGATGAGGTTCGAACCTAAGACCTTTTTTTTTTATTGAAATCAATGAGTAAGTTAACGGTGAACTAACAGAAATTAACAAAAAAGATAATATTTAACGGAAAAGTTAACGGATAATCATATTCATTAAGGATAAATTAGTAAATCTTAAGGAAAAATTAAAATCAGATCAATCTGAGCCATTCATTTGTTTAAAAAATTTGACCGTCATTTTTTCTACCCATTATAGGCCTAACTCTCTTGGGCTCTTATTAGTATAGTAGATTTGTACTAGCTTATTATTCTATGTAACAAGGCGTTTGGTTGGAGGAATTAAAATCCCATGCCTCCCCCCCCCCCCCCCCCCCCCCCTGTGATTTTAATTCTTGGGGAAAAAAGATAGTGATGAGTCAAAATTACCTCTTCCTTTTTTAACCTAAAATTAATGTCTAACAACAATAATGGACATTTTTGACTTTATACTACTTATTCCCTTTTAATTCCCATGTATACCAAACATTGGAATTGAAATTCCCAGTAATTCTATTCCTGTGAACCAAACACTGGAATTTTAATTCCCACTTTATTCCCAGTAATTCAACTCCCATGGAATTACAATTCCTTTCCCACATAATTCCCCCCTCCAACCAAACGCCCTGTTATATTGTTAAATATCAGTTTATTGACCTTTTATCTAGTCTAATTATACTTGGATAAGTAATAAGAACATTGATGGATTAAATTAACCCGGGTAGTCAGAATTATTTAACCCAATAATAAAGAAAGAAATAAAATGGATAATGAATTGGAAAAGATAAGAGTTATGTGTCGTAGAGACAAAATTTGTATTAATAAGCATTGTAAGAGAATTACAAATGAATGAATAATGTCCTAATGAAATAATAACAAGTTAATTTATACTAAAGCTACCCATAACCACCCCCACGAGAACAGGGCTGGCGGTTGAATCTTCTTTTACCATGTCCATAATCGAAGTCGAGCTGGCCTTGGCATGCGGAGCGCACAAGGCCAAGGCCGCCTCAGAGACTGGCCTTGGGCAGCCCTAGGCCGATGTCGACTTCCGGGTTGTTCTCATTTTTTCTCAAATTGATTTACCTCAAATCCATCTCTAATATATCCATCAAACGCACTCTCCGTCTCCCATGTCTAATTTTTACTATCAAGATTTTAACATTCAATTTCTTTTCACTGAATTCACTAATTAAATTACCGAAAATTCATCAACTTTTTTAATGTTTTATGCAATGCTAATTAATATTGCATGAATCCATTATTTAACTCAATATACTTGAGTTTAGTATACTTAAATTCACTATTCTTTATATAAACTCGATTAAAGAAAATGTTTTCTTCCACTCTTAAATTTCACCTCCAATATTTTTTCTCATGACGTGGCACCCATTCATACAGTGTCATAAATTAATTGGCCCCACAACTAATTCGGAATAAAATTTAACTACCAACTAGATTATGTCACTTCACGGGGGATGGACTGGCGAGAAAAAATATTAGAAGTCTCTAGCATTATTCTTCCATTATAATTTCATCTGTTAATTAAATTAACTCAAAAAATTATTATTAAAATATAAAGTAAAAAAAATTAAATTCTATTAATTTTTTAAAAAAGTGATATTTTAATTCTGTAAACAATTTTTACAAATTTAAAAATTAATTTATTTAATTTAAAATTAACTGAATATATATACACCTGTCGGCTGGGAGCCATATGTGCACAAATCAATAAATCATAGTTAGTATGCGAGGGCAATTCCATCATTTCTCATTCACTTTTGTCTCCACATATGCATATGTGACGAATATATATCATTTCGAAGATTGACAAAAATAATTTAATTTTATATTTATTGATGATTGGAAGTCACAGGATAATAATAAAAACAATAGTAATTATTATAACAAATCAATCACAACAGAGAGAAGTGGTCCTACTACTCGCTGCTTTCTTCTCTTTCGTTTCCACATGATTTTCATTGCTGCATTTTGAATTCATAATTGTTTCATCGCCAAATTGAACAACAACATACACTCTGAGCATCACGCACCAATTGTTGATCTCTTTTTTTGTTTTTTTTTTCTTTTTTTTTTTTTTTTGTTTTGGTTTTTATGTGGGGATTATAGTCTACACATTGTTGTGTAGACCATAACAAAAAGTACATTTTTAATATATTAAAAATATAGTGTACTATATAATATATATATTTTTAATATACTAAAAGTACATTATAATTTACATAGATGTGTAGAGCATAATGAAACCATCAATCCGGTTTTGATTTTAATTGCAATTTTACAATATATAATTTGATTGGAATCGAAGCATGGTAATTTTTATCTGGTGGAGGCAACATCTGAATCAATTCAATCCAGTGGCTCCATATATTTTTAACATTTTCTTAATTTCAAATAATACTTGTTGGTTGGTGTTATGATTTAGGCCCACTATAATGGTCCGCTCAATGATTTATAAGGAAGCGGACCTCCCAGGCCTGAATTTTTTGGGTCACCCGGTCCAATATCCCATATCCAAATCAGGGGGTTTATCTAATTCAATTCAATTGTTATACCATGGACCTAGGTGACAAGGTCCATCTTGGATTGTGAGTTTTTATTCAATAATTATGTGTTTGTAATTAATTGTTTATGTGTCTGTAAATAAGTTAAAAATACATAATATGTTAATTACAAACATATAACATGGTAACTACAGATACATAATATGTTAACTGCATATAGATATTCAGCTATATAATTTGAAGATTATTTTAGACCAAGATCCATAATGTTAGGTAGACATTGGTCCATGATATAATTTGTCAGTATCTAATTCTCTTCTGTTTCAAATATCAAAGTTATTTAAAAGAAATTTAGAAGGGAAGAAGAGGTTTTATTTATTTATTTATTATTATTATTTTTAAAGATTCTTGGGGAGTGTGTAAGCTTATAATGAGATGAAAGTGAGACATTTTATTGATTTGTGTTTACAGAGAATAGAATAGAGGCTAAGCAACTTGTGCTTATTGGCACTTGTGTAATTCTTAAAGGTCACATGTTTGAACCAGGTGGTGGGGAATTTTTTAGACTATAAAAGATAGAAAAAATATATTGAACAGATATTATCTTGTGATAGAGTCATAGAATAAAGTGATAGATTTCATTGCTAAATATTCTGTCTTGCGTGATCCTGCTTGATGGATATATTGGGAATCGACCCAAACCGACCAGAGAGCCGCGGAGCAAGAACGGGTCCCGGAGCGGGGCCGTGTACCCGCCCCGGCACGACTGCACGAGGCCTCAGCGCGTGGCCCCTGCGCGAACCACAGCTGGAGGTCGGACCGACCTCTCCACGGGGTCGGACCGACCTCCTGATGGGCTCGGTCCGACCTCCAGATGGGCTCGGTCCGGCCCCCACAGCACGGCCCGGTCGCGAGACCGGGCGCGGTTAACTTGAGATTCAACCACTCCCCGTTTTAGGGGGAGGCGATTGGGGGGTTTATAACTTGTATAAAAGCCCCCCATTTGGTCTTAACAAGACACGATCTATCCTACTTACATACTTTGTAATAGCCTATTTACGACATTTAATACAATATACGGTCCTCACGACCTACGGTCCCTGCAGCCTTACGACATCATTTTGTCCTGTTTATATATTTTCCATATTACGTTCTTATTCAGATTTAATAATTTGGGGCGCCCCGGGTTAATTAAATCCATCACTGCTCTCATTGAGTCATTGTGTTATAAGTTTTCTGCCAATCCATTGATAGATCATTCAGATGGGCTCGGAGGGTGTTACACATTCTAGGAGAGTTTTTTGATTTGTGTAGTTCTACTGTTCCTTCGATTTGGAGTATTTTCCTCTCATGTTAATCAAATTTTTTTAAAGAGAATTAAATAAAGAAACCAGGACAAACAAGCAAGTATATGCTCAAACAAGCAATTAATTTTGAACGACAACTATTACACAAGAACGGGAATCCAATACATATCCTTGGTGACTGTATGTTTCTTTTGAATTGTCACCCAAAATCCAGCAAGTGATGCTCCATGACTAGTGCTTGGACGTAAGACATTAAAATATTAAATACGAGTTATATTACATGTACTCTTACTTTACTCTATACTCTTTAATGTAACAAAAACGTCACTAGTCCTAATAAACCGTTCACTCTCCATTTCCTTCTATTATTTATCTTTTGTTCAATCCATAAGAGACACATGACAAGAGTAACACTCACTTCACATTTTCATTAAACAAACATAAAAATGAAATCCAAACAACATTCGAACAACTTTGTTACTGAATCAGAATCTAAGTGTAAGAAAAACAAACAGACCAAAGTGTGAGTAAACTAAACAAATTATTAACGTAGAGAAACAGGTTAATTAATGTATGCGACCAAGAAATCACCATGTCGGGATCATAGGCGCCACGGCGATGGGGCTCCTCACTTTATACTTACCACTCTCATCAATCCAAGTCAAAGAACCAAACTCAACTTCCCCAGTTTGATTCCCCAGGTAGGTTAAAACGAGCTTATATTCCGCCTCCTCGTACTTGTTCTTGAAGGAAAGATTTCCGTTCTGTATTTCAACCTGGGAATTCCTAGGACCCGAGACATGAACTGTGAAAGTTGCGGGGCCATCTCCAACATATGTGACAGTCCTCACAAATGTCCTTCTAATCCCATACCCAGATTCACTTCTAGATTGATTAACCGGGTACAGGAGAATGAAGGAGGGGTAATTGAGATCAGAATTCGGGTTTTCGAAGGTGTAATTCTTTGATCTGGTGATGGTGAGGATCTGGGTTTTGGTGAAATTCATGGAACAGAGAAGATTGACGTAATCCTGGGGAGTGGCATCATAAATCAGCCCTGGGTTAAGTGCAGAATTTGGATCAACCTGACCGGCTCCCATGGAGAGGGGAGAAGCAGAGGTGAAGTTAAAGGCGGGATCTTTAATGGGCTTATTAGTGTTATCATATGGATTTGCAGTTGTAACCATGGCGGACCGGATCGCCGCCGGGCTCCACTCCGGGTGCGCGCCTTTAAGGAGAGCCGCAATGCCGGAAGAATGGGGACAGGACATGGATGTCCCGGAGATCATGTTGAATGGGCTGGATAATTCTATGTCAGGGGAAATGTAAGACGCGTATAATGTCGGAACCCAGGCTGCTAATACTAATGTCCCCGGCGACATTATGTCCGGTTTCAAGATCCCCGGGTAGCTCGGGGCCGGCCCTCTGGAAGTGTAGGTGGCCACCACAGGGTGAGATTTAGTGCCCAGAAATGTCTGCTGAAATTTTATGGTGCCATAGGGGTTAGCGCCGTTTTTAGCGTAGTTAATGAGGTTGTAGGAATTTGCCGGGGAAATTACGACTCCGGGGTATGGGAAATCGTTGAAATTGAAGATTTCAGGGTCGTCGGAGATGAAAATGGCGGCTGGGACCTTGGAGTTTGCGATGACGCGGATTTGGGACATGAATGATCCTATGTTGTCACAGATTATTATCCCGTCGTATTCGGAGAGTAGCTGAGATGAATTGCAGGCGGATATTGTTTGATTGTAAATTAGCGGTTGATTCATGACAATAGCGCTCGCCGGGAAAGATGTCCATCCGAGGATTTCTTCACCGTTTCCTAGAATCAAAGTTCCGGCCAACCACCGGTCAATGGAGCCGGCGGCGGAGGTGAGAACCCACGGGATTCCATTGTGTAAGTTTCCGAGCCCGGAGCCGGCATTTCCGGCGGAGGAAGAAAGAAGAACGCCCTTTTCCATGGCGCCAAAAGCGGCAATGGCAATGGGGTCTTCATACAACGGAGAAAAATCAAACCCCATGGAAATGGAGATCACATCAACGCCGTCGGCAACCGCCTGGTCTATTCCGGCGAGAACATCGGAAGCATACCGCCCTTCTTCCCAAATCACCTTATACATAGCCACCCGAGCTCTCGGCGCGATCCCACGCGCCGTCCCGGAGGCGTACCCGAAGAACGACGCCTCATCCACGTAGTTTCCGGCGGCCGTGGAAGACGTATGCGTGCCGTGGCCTTCAACGTCCCTCCCGGAGTTCATGACTATCGTAACGTTCGGATTCGCCGCCATAGCTCCCTTATTGAAGTACCGAACGCCGATCAGTTTCTTGTTACACAAGGAAGGATCAAACTGTTCTCCTTCTTCACACTCCCCTTTCCACCTCGCCGGAATTTCCCCCAACCCATCATCTCTAAAGCTCGCACTCTCCGGCCACACGCCGGTATCAATGACGCCGACGATCACGTCCCGGCCATAGTCCGACGCCGGCCACAGCCCCGTGGCGGAATTGAGAGACAGAAACTCAAAAGTATGGGTTGTGTCAAGCGTCACAGTCTTGTCTTTGTAAGCCGACACAAACCCCGGAGATTCCTTGAGAGATTCGAATTCTTCCTCGGACAACACGACACTAAAACCATGAAGCGTATGGTCGTAAGTGTAGAGAAGCCTGGTCGGATTGTGTTGGTCGTCTGAGGTTGTTTTTTCGAGTTTTGCAGAGTTAACAACAGAGTTGTACCAATGGTCGTGACTGACAAAAGATTTGGGCATAAATGCCTTATCCATGTGGACAATGTAGGTGACTTTGTTTGATGAAACTAAATATTCTTGAAAGGAAACCAATACAAATAGGATGATAAGAGGAATGCCTTTAAGCCCACCCATTTTTTTTTATTTTTTTTCTCACACAAACTCTTGCTATGCAATCTGTTTAATCTCTGACCTGCACATTTATACTACTTCAGAATGAAATAGCAGGAAGTTTCAGCCATGTTGGTGAGAATGACTTGGCAATCAAATGATTAAAAGTTTGACTTTTAGCAAGAGTGATATGATGTGACAAATATGTAAGTATATTATATACTTATATTCCGTAGAGTTACGGCCGGATTTTAGGGTTTGGTGGCCCTGTTCTGATAAATAAATGAGGTCCTATTTTTAAAACCAATAAATGCAAGTTTCGAACCTTTGACTTCCAAGTTAAAATACAATAAATATACATTCCTAGTTTCCTACCATCTCTTCATAGAACCTTTTAAATTTAATTGAAAACTTTTAATTTTTATTTCTAAACTAGATAGGTAAAAATTAAATATTGAGCCTCTAAAATTTGGGGCCCCTCTAAAATTGGAGGCCCTGTGCGGTAGCCCAGCTTGCACAGCCTAAAATCCGGCCCTGCGTAGAGTGTATGAACTCGGAGAGCTGGTTATGAGATCAGACATTTCCGAGTTTAGGTTCAAAGTCCCCCAAAAATCTCCAATTGTGGCAGCCTTATATAGAAGTCTTAAAGTGACACATGATGAGCGTCCGACATATTAATCACGTGTCCTACGTGTACCGATCGCGATGGGGTGGCCATAATAATTCCACATGCTACGAGATTCTGACATTTGCATTATTATGCTATAGTCGGGCAACACGTTTGGGTTGTACTTGTCTTTCGATAATGAAGGTTCAGTGCTCGGGATAGCCTTCCCAATCATATGAGCTCGAGAGTCCTATCCCGGGAGCAAAGCGCTACTAATCCCAAAGGGACTACCTTTAATTTTGACTAGGCTCTGGTCCGGTGGAACACCCGATAGTCGATTATGCTCGGGAAATGAATCTACTAGTCCCTTGTACAAATATTGAGCACGTGTATAAGTATCCGAACAAAGTATAATCCCTATCATGGCCTATTGGCTTTCTCGGTTTGAATTGGTCAACACCTAGAGTGGTTTACTTCCTTGTAGTCGTTTGTTTGCTAAAGTCACAACACGAGTTTTACACACTGCACACCTTCAGATATTGGATGAGGGTTTCCCCGGTCACCAAAAAATAAGAAAGAATGAGTAAATGTGAAAATGAACAATCTAATTATTAGTTTAAACTTTTAATTAAAATGGAAGGTGAAGGCGGTAGGGGTGTGCAATCGGTTAATCGAACCGTTTTAACCGAATTGAAATTTTTAAAAGATTAATCCGAACCAAACTTTGTATTACCAAATTAACCAAATTGAAGTTTTTTTTTTTTTTTTTCGATTAACGGATTAATCGAAAATTTTTTAAATTAAATTTTAATTCTTTAAAATAATACCTATAATAATAAATTCATAAGAAAATATACAAATACAATACCATAACAACACTACAAACATAAAAACACAAATTATATAGTCCAACATATATCCATATATATATATATATATATATATATATATATATATATATATATATATATATATATATATATATATAATTTTAATTAATTGTTTGATTAATTCGATTAATCGATATTTTCGAACCGAATTCACAGTTTAATCAAAATTTTACAAATCCTTTAACCATTAACTGAATCGAAATTTTCGATTAAAGAATAATTAACCGAAATTCTTTGATTCGATCGATTAACCGAAACTTAAACACCCTAACAAGGGGCCGGGCGATGGACGGCTTCATAGTTGTTCCAGAGATGTGTGATCTGCTGTCAGCTGGCTGAAAACCATAGTTAATGTATTAGAAGAGACACATTGTGCGATGGAACCTATGCTTAGGCTCCACATTGGACTGTTTAATGTTTTTACTATTCATATTAAGGTTATAATACCTTAAGATTCTGGCATATTTTCCCTGTCCTTTGAAAGTGATATCCTTGTAACTTTGTGAGTCTTGGGTCTTTTTGAGATCACAAGAAAAATATTGATTATATATATATATATATATATATATATATATATATATATATATAGTCGAGTTTCGGTGCGACGAAATCTTCCTGTGCGATCGTGCAACAGTTTTCAGAATAATAGTGCATATATTCTTATTAAAAAAAAAAAAAAAACTCATTAATTTGTTGGTGTGGATCAGAAAGTTCTGATTGATTAGGAGAAAATAATGGATTTCAGTTTTCTTTTTTCCTTAAAAAAAAAACATGTCAAAAGTATGCAAGTATCGTGCAAGACTGCAGTTGTACCATATATGCATGTAAAGACTAAAGACATCAGTTTGTCTTCATTTAGCTACTGATATTGTTCTTGGAAGCTTCTCAGGTAGCTGAAAATAACGTAAGAGACATTTTTGAAGCAATAATTTGAGGTTAACTACTTGTTCAGAAATTCATACAATCAGGTAGCATTTTCTTATATTGTTATATTAGATGATAAGAATGTGTCAACGCGTGATTATTTGGTAGGAGGAAAACCCGTTACCACTATTCGTCCATATATAATAAATGTGTTGATAAGAATTAAATTTGTGACCAGCTAAATACAAAAATTATATTCTACATTTCTACTTAGGACCGGCCTTGGCCGTGTACGGCCAGGGCGAAATATTTTATATGTAATTCAATATTTTTATACTTGATAATTATGTTTCTAGAATCCACATATTGATTTTAATTGCAAAACTGAAAACAAAATTGTATAGAAATTGGTGTCGAAAATTGGTGAATAATTTTGTATCTAAATATACACAAAAAATGTCTTTTTTTATGTTAAATTTTGATTTATATTTTTTTTCTGTTGAATTTTTATGAATTATATTTTGACAAAAGTTTTTTTTTTTTTTTTTTTTTTTTACATTTTTATTTTGTATTTGTACTTAGCTTACTTGTATAATCATTTAAAAAATAGTCAAAATTAAACTATTAGATAGAACTTATATTTTTTACGAATTATACTGGTCTTAATTTTACTTACTCGATCATTTTGTTCGGGACAAAGATGGAATGCATGCATGATTGATCGGCAAGTGACAAACAACGGCTAAGGACAATGGCATGTGAGGTTTTTCAAGCGTATTTAACGAGCCGATAGAGAGGTTTAATTAAAGCGATGTTTCAAATGAATTGAAATTATTGGACCACGAAGAAAATTGCATTATTTCACATCAGACTCATAACAATAACAATAACATAAACATTAGTCTCTATCCTGCAACCGTTTGTGCAGGCAGGGATTGTAATTATAAAATATTTTGATAATAAGTAAATAAATAATTAAAATAATATATTAATATCTTTATAAGTTATTTTATTTGTTATTAGCTAACACTATAAATTGTTAATCCAGATAAAAAATATATCATTTTTCTATAAATTACTAATACTTTCCATTGATTATTTAAAAAAAAAATTAATATAATTCGATATTTAAAGATAATGGCCGGTTCAAGTCAATTATAGAAGTAAGGGCGATTATAACAGGTTGGGGAATATGCAAAGGGCATACTCTTCGCATGTGCCCCTAATTCCCCGTCCTTGTCCTCATTATGGATTGAAGATTTATTCAAATATACATGTCCTTGTCCTTGTGAGAATTATGTAGGAAACGAGCCTCATCTTCTAATAATTAGTTCCGTTTTTACTACAGCATTTAAATGACAACATAACTAGTCCCGATCCATATTTTTTCTTGTGCTTATCTTCATCACAACTTGTTTAGTTTGGACTTAGTCTCATTGATACCTTGATGCTGATTATGAGTATCCACAACCTCACCTTAAAAATTTTATATTTTTAATTTATATATAATATCAAGGATAAGATAAAGCAGTGCAGGGTGTAAAACATTCTCTGAAAAGTCCTCCCTATTCTTATCCCAAAGACAATGAATTGGGCTTCCTATCAAGTTTAGGTATAAATGTATAATTGTCATCCTTGAGTGGAATGGGCAAAATTGTTATTAGACAAGATAGATGAATAAATTTAAAGGCATTGATTAAAAAAAAAAAAAAAAAACACTAAATTGACCAAGTAAAGAGACCAATTCCTGGGAAAAGAAAACGGAAGGGGAAGAGACCATTTTCTAGAAAAGGAAGAAAATTGATTTCCGCTGCCGGATTCGAACCCGGATTCAAATGAAGACTTTGAGAATTAGCCAGTGCTACAGCGGAGCCATTTGTTATAATAGGACGATTTTATTTCTTTTAAATGTTGTAGCGTTTCTTATAAAAACAATGCCAAAACCCCCCGAGTAAGATACACTGCCATTTTATCAAAACAAAACCATCATTTTATAAAGTATACACTCTTTTTTCCTTTTTTTTCTTTTTTTTTTTTTTTTCAAATTTAAGATACATATTTGAACCCTAAACAATTATGCAAACAAAATGATAAACGTTGTAGCGGAAATTCGAAAATACTCAATAATGGTTTTATGGACCCGGCTCCATCATAAAACTAGGTAGAACGAGAGAAAAATATGAATAATATTAATTTGAATCTAGGTCCGAACAATATTCACAATTGGGCTACAAGTAAATAAAAATAATAATAACAAGTCTGCCCAACCGGAGTTGTCTAAACCTAAAACATACTAGGTCTTAAATTTAGTCCTCAAGACACACTTCTCGTAAGATTTGAACACGAGTTTAATGACAGGACAAGAAGAGAAAGGTGTGTTTCGTATGTACAGAATTGTATAGTAAAATACATATAAACTCCTAACATAATACACATAATCTAACATAATACATAATACACATAAACTCTTAACATAATACACAGAAACTCTTAACAGAATACACATAAACACAAATGTAAAAATAAAAAATAAAAAAATTGTAACGGACAGAACGATGTCTGTCGCGTCAGCTCTCCACCAACTTATAAAAATGATGTCGTTTTTAAACTAGGGCGCACAATGCGTCCTGGTGCACGATATAACGATTGGTCTATAATAGTCTGGTCTTAGACCTAGGCTTATGCTTTTGGGCCTGAGCCTTGTGGCCACGTCTACTTAGTCCATTATGGACCAAAGAAGCCGTGTAGGGTCCAGTCTCCTTTTATTTTTTTATTGTAAGGGAAGGGGGATATCCTACATATACACACTACTCGTCTCAACTGAAGTTCGAATCTTTCACCTCCCACTTAGGGGAGCAACCCGATACCAGTGGACCACAAGCCACTTGGTCAATCTTCTTTTATTTATTTTCTTGTACTCATTGCCTAAGATATTACTCCTCGATTATTTAATTTATGGTGGGTCTAATCCAATAAAATCATCAAATATACTACATTTCAAAACTTCAAAATGAATTTTTTTAAAAAATCATGTGTTCACTTGTCTACTAAACAAATTAAATTATATACTTAAAAAAGAGCAAAAAAAAAATACATAATATACACTTTTTTTTTACTACTATCAACTCTATTTCGATCATGTAACCTTCTCTCAAGGAGAGTCATAAAGGTATCAATTGAGCACAAAATATTTAGCATATAAATTTCAAAATACAAGTTTTGATTGAATTATTTTTTATTATTTATTATCTTCTTTAAGATTCAAACTAAATAAAATCAACAAATTTCTTTGGTTTCTAATCTCCTGATGATTAGTCTTGTTTTCACCTGACATTTGGATGACACCATGGTTAGTTCACAGGACTCAAGCTAGCTCGAGACTCGAGCTTTGTTTTCGTCTCAATTCGTTATTTATTTTTGGATTGGTCAAATCATTACCTTAATATGATGATTATGATGAGTATCTATAATCTCACTCAATTTATTTATTTATTTTTAAAATTGAGAACGAAAGGTGACAATACGTGAAATAAATCTTTTTTCTATTCAAATACAATGGTCATCTCTATGTGAAAAGCGCAAAAGGACTAAAGGGGAGTTCTTGTTATTGGAAAACTTAGGATATGTACCCCAAAAAACAAAAAACAAAAAACAAAAAAAAAAAAAAAAAACAAAAAAAAAAAAAAAAAAAAAAAAAAACATTTTTCCGCTGCCAGGATTGAACCTGGATATATCTTTAAATTTTGACAACAAGCCAATCTACAGCGGAACCAGTTGTTACAATAATACAATAAAATAATTTTGTCGGATATGTACAAAAAAAAAAAAAAAAAAAATCATTTTTCCGCTGCCAGGATTCGAACCTGGATATATCTTGAAATTTTGACAACTTGCCAGCGCTACAGCGGAACAAGTTGTTATAATAGTACAACAAAATATATTTGTAAGTAAGATACTACCTAGGGAATGTAGGATAAGTAAAACAGAAAAATTGTATTCCGCTGCCGGGATTCGAACCCGGATTTATCTTGAAATTTTGACAATTAGCCAGCGATACAGCGGAACTAGTTGTTACATTAATACAATAAAATGTTTTTGTAAGTAAGACGCTACCTAGGCAAGGGCCTAACTTTTATAAATAAGAAAAGAAAAATGGCAAAGCCATTAAACTTACAACTTTTGGGTAATTAAGCGATTAAACTTAAAAGTGTAATTAAGTTATTAAACATACAAAATATGTACAATTGATATATTTTTAGAATTTTTTTTTCCTAACAAAATCTAGTCATATTACTAATATAGTATGTACAAACATTTTTTATTTTCTCCATTGTGATAAGTGGATCCGTGGATCGATTGAAATATTTACAACTCAAATTGTACCAAATTTTTTTAAAAATATCTCAATTGTATATATATTGCTTGTTTAATGATGGTTCAATTACGTATGTTTAATTTGTTTAATGGTTTGTTTGCACATATTTTAAGTTCAGTAGCCTAATTGTACAAAAGTTATAATCTTAAATCTTAATGCTCAAATTGACACTTTTTAAAAATGATAATAATAACAATAAACTATCAAAGGGAAAAGGACAAACAATTTTATCCATTCCGCTTTGCCAAAACCACAAAATAGGACACTGCCATTTTGTCAAAACGGAAAACACAACCATTTTATTCAAAACAGAAAACAATATATCTGTTATATATATATATATATATATATATATATATATATATATATATATATTCATTCATTTCTGATCACCAATGAAAGAAAATGCCACTGAAACAGTTAAATGCAATTCTTCCCACATAATCATCTTTCATTAGCAGTTGAACAAGGTTCTTTAAAAGCAGTTCAATGTCGAATAATAACTTTGGTTTGTCTGCTGCATATTCATAACTGTTCTCAACCACAGCTGCAGTTAATTGCAGTGCAAAAATCGTAAACAGTTCAATCGATGGTAGCAGTACGCATATTCTACTGTCTCGTCATCTATTTTTGAAAAACAAGGAAAAGATCTACACTCATTCCAACCTAGAGAAGCTCAATTAGCGATTGATTGGAGTGTGCATCCGCTCGACTATCCTATTTACTGCATCACGTGACATGACTAGCGTGTCATGTAGCAGAATACTGTAGACATTTAAACCCTGCCAAAAAGTAAGGGAAATTAGATGGAAGAAATTAGGGCGAGAGCTGAAGATATAAATATAGCCTTCAAGAGAATCAGAAATTACAGCCACCATCTATATCAGCATTAACAAAAAAGGGAATATGTTTATACAATGTTGGTTCATCACAGATAGAGCTACGGAACCATTGTGTGCATGAACAGATTCATGAGAATCATCAAAAGATTTTTACTAATTCAATTAATGCATTAAGAGCCAAAGACCTTGTGGTCAAGCGGCATGAAGTGACTCTCTCAAATGGGAGGTCATAGGTTCGAGCCTCAATAGAGGCGGTGTTGACTCGTTGGGCTTTAGTTGGTTGAGAAAGTATATATGAACAGATACTACATGTAACAGGGTCAATAGTACTCAAAAAAAAAAACTCACTTAGAAGAAAAATCAAACTCAAAAGCTAGATCCAATAGCTGCTACAATAGCCAAGTATCAAGTGCAGACAAATGTGTATAAACCATCGAAGAGACCAATGTAGTTCTGATACTTACAATAGAAGGCAAAACGTTGACATAATGTATATTTTGAGTGGCCAACTTGAGGTTTTCGTTGATGGGGCCACCATCAACAAGCAAAACTTTTTTGGCATTCTCCATTTTCTGGGCATAGCTTACGATGTTCTTGGTTTTGTGTGAAGGTAGTTCCATATCCTCAAAAATCATGAGCTGTAAATTGCACAACATTTGCTATTAAGTTGAAATTCCCTGCAACATATAATGATTTAAACAGTGTATTCGTATACTTGTGAGGCTTTAAACTTGCCTTTCCCTCTGCTGCACGAGCTGACAAAGCAATCTTCAAGCCCAGTCGACGAACCTTCTTGTTCAGCTTGATAGCATGACTTCGAGGCTTTGGGCCATGCATAGCTGCACCTCCACGAAACTATTGCCCATTAACAAATGCTATTAGTATTCTTTTATAACAGCAACTCAAAAAACAAAACTGAAAAAAAACAAAAAAAAACACCTGAGAGAGAAAATATTTTATGTAAATTTAGACAAGAACACAGAGGGGCCAAATGTAGGAAAGAATATCACCTGAGGGCCACGGAGTGTCCCATGCCTTGCTCGACCTGTACCCTTCTGCGGATAAGGCTTCCTCCCAGTCCCACTGACCTCACTAATAGTTTTAGTCGAATGTGTTCCCTACATTTTCCAACCATGATTTCATATATTACCAGAAATCATAATTCTATAGAGATTTTGGGAATAAATATCAAGTGCAAAAGATAATGAAGCTTGGGTAACCTTAAAAAATGTGTACAGAAATAACAAAACATTTGGGGAACAAATCAGGGGAATGTTACATAAGGATCCAATTGTTTGAAATTATCTGCAGAAACATAAACCAGATTTCTCAACATGAAAAAATCATTATTTCCAGGGCACAAGTTTCAAATTGAGATAATCATTTCCTTTCTTTGTATGCCAGTGGTGAACAAAATGACCAAAAAAAAAGAAGGTAAAATATCCAAACAAATAATTTCTAAACGAAGATAGCTTTTTGATTCATACTATACCTGCTGCCGTTTAGCAAGCTGCCATCTTACAACACGATGTATAATGTCCTTCCTAATTGGCACATCGAAAACATCACCAGCCAACACCATAAAACCCTTATCTTCATTACGGAAGTTTGTTACTGGAACAACCAGGTCCTGATAGAGCCCTATTACATTATTGCAGTAATCACAACACAATAAAACAAAGTTGTACAAGCTTATACAAAGAAACAAGAAAAGAAAAATCAAAACTCAGAACAAGTTAACTAAACAGAAGAGATCTCATAAGTGGTTTCTAACAAACAGTAGCGAGCAAATTTGAAACACGGCTACAAAAGAGAACTCAAAACCAGTTACATCCATGTAGGCACAAGTAACCATGATTTTTACAGCAATTATTTACGAAACAGGATGGAGTGATACTAGAGAAGATACTTAAATTTGGAAAATGTTCGCAAATTTCATGACTTTGTTCCAAGCTAGCATATCAGAAACAAGAGCAGAGAGAGAGAGAGAGAGAGAGAGAGAGAGAAACTGAAAATAGAGGAATTGAGGAATAATAAATCATGACAATTATTTGGATTTGTCAATAAAGAAAGCACTGAATTTAACTATAAAAGTGCTGTAATGCTGTTCACATACCTAATTCACGATCAAGAGTCAAAACACGCTTCTTTGTCAATAAATCTGATGGAAATTCACCATCACCTGAATCAGGAGCCAGGATTGAAGTCGAAAATCTTCGTAAGGCAAAGAAAATTGGTTCATTCTGCAGCAAAGACCAAGGTATACAGATGCTATGTAATGCAACAAAGGAAAAAGCATGAAAAACAATCAACAAGTCAACCCTAGAAAAACACGACGATTTTCAAAGCATTGAAATAAGGAAGGCAATCATTTTACCTTAGCAAAAGCAAACTGCTTCGCAGAAGTTACATTCGAAGCTGTATCAAAAAGAAATTGAGGTGCTATCAAACATATGGTTTAGCATAATAGGAAAACAAGGATTAAGAGTATCAAAAAGTGGGGAGGAAATCTTCTCAGTAAGGTCCAAATTTCAATTCTATAATATGCCGAATGAAAATTAAAAGCAAAATCAAACCTGTAGATCCAGAGAGGGAACGGAGCAAACCGGCGGGGGAATCAGATGAACAAAACGAACGCAAAAGCCTCCTAGAAATTGATAATGACATGATTTGCAATAGATACTGATTACATACAGATATAGATACAAATTAGATGGTCATTTTGCAGAACCAGAAAGAGCTGTGAACATGGAATACAGTCGAGAGGCGGCGAGGGGTGTAGGATGGGATATAAATTTAATAATATATAGTAGGTGTTTTTTGTAAATATATCAACATAATAGGGTGAAATTATAATTTTGTTTTTGTTATATGAATTTCGTGCTCTTGGTAACTTTCTTTCAAAAGGCTGAACCCCAACCCTAAGAGTCCCCCACACCTCAGTCCGGCTCACTGCGCACAAGGAGCCCCCTCACTGCCGCTGATGCTGATGAGACTCGATCCCTGATCATTCTTCTAAAGTTTCACATCTATGACCAATTGAGCTACCCATGCGGACTGTTCTTGGTAACTTTGTTTATACTCCTTGGCGTATTGGGAATGTTTAGACCTATTACTACCCATTTAGAATGATAACTGAAATTTATTTATATTTACTTATTTACTAATGTATAATATGTGCAATGCACAAAATATAAATCCGTGTCAATTTCAAGAGACAATATTATATACTTTTACATTATTACTAACAAATTTGTCACTTTTTATTTGAAAACAAATTTGATATAGCAAGTTCTGATAGGTTGATATATAAAATTTAAATTTAAAAAAAAAAAAAAAAAAAAAGAGAAAAAACAAACCTATTAAAATTTGTCACATAAAAAAGTGACAAATTTGTGAGTGATATTTGTAAGGGTAAATAATATTTTTCATATTAAAATTATAATCATCTCATAGTTATTAAAAATTTTGGGTCTTAACTATATTTTATAACTTATTAAAGTAATATTGAAAAACAATATTCATACTTTTGTTTGATAATGATAGGGATATACGCCCGTGAAGTCTACTGGTCGGTCGGCACCGATCCGTCCCACGGTCAGGTCTAGTCGGCTTATTCACCTTGCGTCTCCTTAGCTGACCGCTAACACGGTCGCCCCTCCGTCCGACCGGCCTTCCCGAGCGTCTTGCCGTGACCAAGCCTCAGTTTCGCCAGGTCCCTAGCGCGCCCCGTCAAACGTCGAGGCCCGACCCCAATGGTCAGGCCCGATCGTTGCTCCCCAGCTCCGGCCCTAAGGGGCTCAGAGTATAGCCGCCGCGTGGCGTGAAGGTACCCGGCCCCGACCGTAGCCGATGCATGTCCGCTACATGCCGCCATGCCGAGAACCCGGAGACTGACCCCTTCATGCTACTGAGAGGGGACTTTTGGCATTAAGTTGGACCGGAGCATCCCGACCCACTATTTAGAATCCGTGCTTGGCATTAAGTTGGACCGGAGCTTCTCGACCCACTATTTGGAATCCGTGCTTCAACATCCACGCATGTATGTACCCATACCCATATATACAATATATCAGATAAAAATGTAATTTTTTTATATATAAATTTAATATTCATTTTTAGGTAATAATAACCATCCTTGCTAATTAAAATGTAAATGAAATTTAGCTTATAATTATTCATTTTTATTTACAATATATTTCATTTATATATTCTTTAATAGTAATAATAATATAAGAAAAGATGTAGTGTATTATTATTATAACAATAATACAAAAAGTATAATAGCAAGAATATTTATGTTCAAGATAATATATAGTATAATTTTTATAGCATAATGTACATAAAAATTAAATAAAAACACACATAAGTGAGGATACTAACCACCATTGAATTATTTGCTTTTTAATTAGTGCAATAAAGGCAAGGCTGTGAGTCTGTGAGATGCAAATTGAAATATATAAGCATAGAAAGCTAGATGAAAAGACCTGCAAATGCTGCTATAACAAAGTATCAGACTACTGAAAATCCAAAGTATTTTACAGATACAAATAGAAAGTAGTTTAAAGCAGCAGCATAGGACTGAAGCAGCAAAAGTTAACACAAACTTCATTTATTTCAAACAAGCAAGTTTGTTGATTGACCAACAAAACAGGAAAACAATCTGTCTGCAAAGCTGAGATAACAGAAAATCTACAAAGGCTAAGCGGCGTCTGCTCAGCATAGTTGACTCCACCTTCAGCAAAATGGCCAACAGCTTGGCAAGGTGGGAACAGAGTAGAGTTGAGATTGATACATTGATAATCCACGACACAAATACCACCGTGCTAACCACCAAACGGGTCCCCCTATCAATGACATGAATTGCCCAATCAGAAAGACCACTTCGATAATAAACCAAGTCACTTTCTCTGCTCATCAGAATCAAAGATAGAATTAAAAGATAAAATCCAGAAAGTACCTCATAAGCCAGATGATTTGCGCCATGGGACAATTGTCTCCAAAGAACAGACAACACTTCATATCTTCAGGCTTTCACCGCCAATATATCTTACATAACCTTACATGATTGTATCAACAACTTCAGTATGCATCCCAACTATTCTTGGGAAAGTAATGGAATGGTATCTCATTTAGACGTCTGAATTGTAATCCAAGATTGGTAATGTATCACATTTGGAGTTGTAATCCAAGATTGGTAATGTATCAATAATATCTCATCGGAATTGTAATCCAAGATTCGTAATGTGTCAATAATATCTGAATTGGAATTGTAATCCAAGATTGGTATTGTAATACTTTTGTATCACTTAGTGATTATCCATCTTTCTCTTAGAGAAATCCTTTTAAATTGGTTTATCAATATTGTAATAAATTAGTCACCGCCCAAAAGTGGGCAGACAAGGTCATCCAGCTCCAAAAAATCTCCTTCAAGAATGCCTAATTCTTCCTCAGCAGCCAAGGCTTCAATAAATGTAGCACCAGTACTAACAAGTCCCGTTGATCTCATCTGCAAAAAGCAACAACCTATAAAGAATTGTAGGCAAATTCATTTGACATTAAGAACTAAATGCATAACCTATGATGAAAGATAGTAGATTGGGAGATGAAAGATGGAAATCTTTGGATTAAGCTTCAGAAAACGCCTACATTGGCTACCTATCCATCAATAGAAACTAAAGGTAATTTCAAGTTTGAAGCTAGAAAAGGCTTATTTGCTGCGCTAGAACATCTAACATCACAAGATATGAGGTGCATAAAGCATATATAGATATCACATCACAAATACTTTATAGCAAGAACTAGCAGTTTACATTGGCTCAGCTTATGATCATTACCATTTTTAAGACAATTCAAAGCTCATCTTGCTTAGTTGGCAAAGACCTTAAGACCAGGCCCTGTTCAAACCTCACCAGGAGCAAGGTAGATCTAATCTCATAATTGGCGAGTAGTTTAGTTTCCATTACTTAGGAGTAGCTGTGATTTGTGGGTAGTTGGAATTGTTCATTGAAATTAAGTTTAGTTCATTGGTCATAACTTAGTACTTCGTACTCAGGGTATCAAGGAAAAAGAAAAAGATCATTCAAAGGAAGATTACTAAGAAAATTGAAGTAAAATGCAGCAGAAAATATTTCATCATGCATTACCTGGTCACCAATTGGTTCACTAACATGATTATCTATCTTGCTAACTGTATCCACTGGGAAATTCAAAACCTCATTCTTCTCATCCTGCATTTTTTCATCGGTGGCTGACGTGGCAGTTCCATTGCACTGAATACCAATGTGACGAACAGTCGCAACACTTTCTTCAGCACAGGAACTCACCATATTTTCTGACAGGTTGTTTCCGTGATGTGATTTGGAAAAAATTCGACATAGGACGAAAGCAGCCTGCATATGAACAAAAGCATGTACCAATACTAGTTATACTCACAGTCAAACATAAGACAGAACAGGCCATGAGCGAAAGGCAATGATGAATAAAATCATGAAAACCATGAACCAACAATTGATTTTCTTATCAACTGCCTCATATTCAGACATTTACCAGTCACAAATAACACATAAATCACAGGTTTTCTTAAAATAAATTGTGCTAGTAAACAATTGAGCCAGAATACTAGAATAGCATCTTGATTTTAACCCCATTGTATTTATACCTTGCAGTATGAAGTGTAAAAACAAAGGCCCCCTTCATTACTTCAACATACTCAAAATCAAAACCCCCCAGCTTGATTTAAAAACCTGAATTTGATCCTCCCAAGGACTCATATTATTAAGAATAACCAAAACCTTGATATATATATATATATATATATATATATATATATATATATATATATATATATATATATATATATATATATATATATATATATCTGTCCATCGATTTACAAGTGCAAGAAATACGAAAGCGGAGCTCTGATTAAGAGGGTACCGTTGGATGATTAGGTTGTTCGTATTCATACATAAACCAGTCAGTTCTCACAGCAGTCTTCGGAGAATCCCCAAAGTAGAAAACGAAGCATTTGCGCGTCCCAACCACGGCTTTCCCCAAACTCCGATCCACAACAACCCTAACCCCCCCTCTCCTTTTCCAGTACCCGCCGCCGGCTCGCCTGGTTCCTCTATCCTTCAAAGCCCTAACAACAAAGCAGAACCAGTGCAGGCGCCTCCCGCCGCGGCCGAACCGGAAGCGGAAAGTCTCGGGTAAGTTGAACGGGTCAAAATTGTAGAGGTTAATATCCTTGATTACGTTCGTGCCGCCGTGACGATCGCCGTCATTCTTCAGGGAGAGGTAGTAGCCTACAAGCTGTTCGTCGGAAGGGTAGAACCCTGAACCTGGGAGGGCAAACGACGTCGTATCCTTGTTGACGTCCCCCATCTTCGCAATACACAATCAAGTCAGCCACCGAAAGATTTTCTGATGACCACTGGGGTTTATATAGGGGCGCGACAGGAGAGGCTTCGCCGTGACGCTTCTCCGGGGGTTTTATTCTGTCATCTCAGGTGTACGTGTTAACGGTGAGTACATCCCAATTTTTTTTTTTTAATTTTTTTTTTTTGTATAACCAGAGTTTCCACCGCACCTCTTTTCCTGGAGGCCAAAGATCGAACCCTTGACCTTTGGTTAAGGATGAATGAGTTCCTTCCACTTAACCGCACCCTCCAGGTTTCATCCCAAATTTGGTTAGTCTCCTTCGATGTGATTGTTGTTATTATTATATCATTAAACATATTCATAGAGAAGTTAATAAATAAGTGTTTGATTTCTGTCACGAACATTGAGAGTTTGAGTTTAGGTTAAGCTCTTTAGGCGTGATTGTTGGTATACCGTTAAACATACTCACATAGAAATTACGGAGTAATAAATAAAGGCTTGATTCCTTTCAAGAACATTGGTGGTTAGAGTTTGAGTTAGATACCTTAGACGTAATTGTTGTTATACCATTAGACATATTCATATAGAAGTTGCCACAAACATTAGAGGTTTTGGTTAGACACCTTATATGTGATTGTCGTTATACCGTTAGACATATCCATAGAGAAGTTAATAAGTAAGCAAAGTACAAGACAACCTAGCATACACATCTTCCTCTTGATTTACATCCCAGATCATTGATGAGATATATTCACAAAGAAGTTAATAAGTAAGCAAAGTAAATAGCGACTAAGCATAAATGTCTTCCTCTTAACTTACATCTCTTTGATGAGCTTAGGAGGATATTAAACATTTATTCTTCTCTGATTTTTTTTATTTAGTATAATTTTACCATAAGCATTGTAACTACAGTATTTAAGTATGAAATTTTCTTGATATAGTGATACTTACAATAGCCTTATATATTTTTATAAGAATAATAACACTTACAAAAATTAAATTACCAAATATGGAGTACATATGGTCAAATTTGTCCTTTATTAGTTAGCCATGGATTTCCTGCCACTTGGTCAAAGAGTGTATGCCATACAATCTTTTATTTGAATACACATGATTTTTAAAGAAAGAAACATTGGAAATTTAAGTATGCATGTCCAAGGGAAGTGACCAATGATTTTAGCTTGTGTGCTATACTAGTTGGAAGTGACATGTAACCATAAAAGTAACACATCATTTTCACAATTATCTCTTTCATCTATACATAGAATGATTTTGATTGAGAGGTATAATGTTATATGTTAATTAAAGGAGTATAAAATATAATTATTTTAAACTCATTTTCAGTAATTAATAGATTCTTGTTAATGACTAGATATATCACTATAACAGGACAATTTCAGCCAAGTTAGTTAGACAGTTGATTTGATAATCATCATATTTAAAGTTCAACTCTGTATGATAACTGCTTATTAGTCTTCTTGATTTGAACTGATTAGCAATTAATAATTTAGGTTGATTTATCACCTTAGTGACCTCCCTAAGAGCATCGACATTTGTGGATAATAGGGAGATATTTCAGAAAGAATTCTCCCCACCCAAGATAATAACTAATGTGGGGAAGAGATAATGTGAGAAATAATTGGTCTGCAAATGAAGGGATAATGCAGAAATGGTGGGCCCCACCCCAAAAGCCACCACTGGTGACAACCACGCGTGGCTGTCACCAGTGCGCATGACGGGCGCATGCACCGCACGCGCGTCAGGCGTGCCGAGAGGCGCGCCTGACAGTCTGATTTTTTTTTTTTTTTTAAATTTAATTTTCCTTTTTTTTTTTCTTTTTTTTTTCTCTCCCCTCCCATCTTCTCTTTCCTAATCACTCTTACATTATCCCCCTATTCTCCCCAACAAATGTGGATGCTCTAAATAATTGGCACCATGGTCCATGGGGACATCATATGCATGCTAAGTTCCCCACACACAAACAATTTTTTTTTCCCATTCCTTAAGACATAAACACACAGACATTTCTTCCCATTTAATTTTGCCTTTACACATATCATATATAGCTTTTGGGAGTGTTTGGAGATTGTCCTTACTAGCTTTTATGTAGGCCTCCATTTGTGTATATATTTTGTAAATTAATATATTTCACTTTTGGGACTATTCCTAGAGTAATTAAATATGATCTTCAATTAATCAGAAAAATTCCATTTTACAATTGAAATGAAACTAGAACTTAAATGATTTTTAAAAAATAAAAAAATTATTTTAACTACTACGGGGTGTGGATGAGATTGTGTAAGTTTTATCCCACCTAATCAGTCTCAAGTTAAGTTCAAATCATGTCTCAGCTTAACATTAAAAACTCGGTATAATTGTCACCGAACATACAAGTCTAAATCTTTTACCACTAAACTCCCACCAACCCACCCCCCTCAAAAAAAAAAAAAAAAAAAAAAAAAAAGCAAATTAAATGAACAAATATGGAATACAAATATAGTCAAATAACTCAGGCTTAACTAGCCATAGTTTCTCATAAAAGATATGACTATGATTTCTACCCACTTAGTGAGTGTCATGTCCTACGTACAATAACTTTTTCCTCTATTTCATTTGAATGCATATGAATTTTAAAGAAAGAAACATGAAAGTTTAAGTATGCATGTAGGAGGAAAATGACCAATGATGCTTGTGTTAGTTGGAAGTGACATGTAACTATAAAAGGAATATATCAATTCCAATTAATAATTATCATTGTTTGTTTCTAAATATTCTATGAGTCTATCACTATTATATTCTTATTATTACTCCTTAGCTGACTCAGTTATCTCATCGCTCAAGAGTATGGAGCTGGTAATTAACAAGATAATGGGATAAGTTACTTAGACTTAACCTGGGCCCGAGTGTAGAGCAACGAGAAAATGTAACAGTCGACACACTTAATGCAGGGTCATTCTACTTATTACAGAACACCGCCTCATTAAGGAGCAACAGTTATGAGGAACACTGGGCAGTTATTATAGGGACTGTTATACTTATTGTAATAGGTAGGGGACACATTCAATCTTGTTTTCAAAATCTTAGCAATACGATTACTCATCTGCTTACTCTTTACACTCTCTAAGTAAATATTTCGATAACTTTATTACCGTCACATACATAGAATTTTTTGCGAACGGGTTAACGCGTGGGTAGGAATCACCAATGTATCAGGGAGTTTGATCCTTGCAGCATGATGATGGGCATCTCACCCCGGTTTGATATGTATAGTGTTTGTGGAGTTGGTTTCGAAAAAGTTGTGGCCGTTCAAAGTGAATGTGCAAATAAGTTCAATGGGAAGGTCTCGTTGTTCCCTAGGATTGAAGGGGAGGAGGGAGCATGGATCTTGAAACTTGTCTTTCACCTCGGATTATGAGTGCTCTCAAATTTAACAAAAATTTTGTTAGCCCAATAAAATCTCAGTTATGTTAAGATTATGTCTAAATTTTTATCATTGTAGAAGATGAGATCAATATTTTTCTTTTATTACCTTTTTTACGAGATAATGCTAAATCAATGGATGTTTATACTTTGCATATTGCAACATAATAATAATAATAATAATAATAATAATAATAATAATAATAATAATATTATTATTATTATTATTATTATTATTGTCTAATTTTTCAATTTTATCTAACTATATCCTAAACTCATTAAAAAAAATAAGATACAAAGCACAAGGTAAACATGCAAATATGAAAATATACTCAAAATATAGGGATAGAAGACATTATACAATAAGAACTTGCATTTCTTTTGTTTCTATTTTTGATTTCGTTTTTGCCATTTACCACCCAATATTATTATATTTTGGACATGATTATTTTGATAACTTTTTTCTAGTGAAAATATATTTTAGGAAAGAATAATTTCCAATGACAAGATCTTTTTTGTTTGTTTGTTTTTTTTTTTTGCTCTACAACTATAATAGATGATTCATGAACTAAAATAATGGCAGCGATAAGATAGAAGCCACACACAACTCTGCAAGCATGTCACAAGCACTATGAACAATGAGAGAGACTCTTCAAAAACAAAAACAAATAATAATATAAATGGTGGAAACAATTTCTAGATCCATTTTTTTTTTTTAAATCTAAAAGTGCATATGGCTATTCGCATTGAAAATCCTAGGAGATAACATACCAAGATTAATACTTGGTACTACAATAAAAAAAAATAAAAAAATAAAAAAAAAAAAAATCTAATCTCTTCAGACCCAAGCAGAGACAGTTTTGACTGCGCCTAGGACACAAGGCTGGTGTCGTTAAGGGAAAGTGAAGCAAGTTGAAGTTGGTCTGCTGGGCTGTTAGCCTGTTGAACATTCCTCAGAACTTCCATAGCCTCTGCAACTTTGGCTTTTAAAGCTTCTGGCGATTCGAGCAGATGCAGGACCTCAGTTTGGTCCATCTCGAGAAGCATGCCTGTAACCTTTGCTGCGTGCTCGTGCTCCAGTTGATCAACAAGTGGGTACAAATTCTCACCAAGCATCTGATAAACAGAAACACAGTCAAATTCTATCTTGAAAAGGAACATGGATCGATGTGGAGAAAGTTAGATACTCACTGTCCTCTGTTGCTCGGGCGGTGCATTTGCAAGGGCACTTGCAAGTGCGGTAATTGGTACAGGTTGTCCCAAAGAACCATCTCGAGGAAGTGCAACACCACCCATATCATATGGAACAGAAAGAAGACCTCCACCCACACCGGGCACTGGCACCTCTGGCACATTCCGGCCAGGGGGGAATCGATACATCCTTCCCCTTGGGAGCATCTTGGAGACAAGATCAATAAATAAATCAGGATTGCTTGTTGAACATTTTAAAATAAAACTAAATTCTTTTATCTTACAGTACCAACCAATTGACACAGGACACTGACCATGATTTTAAAACAAAACTTACCTGCTGTTGCATCAAGGGCATAGTCTGCTGAGCTTGTTGCACTGGTCCAGATCCACGCCTGCCACCTGGACACTGGCCTTGCTGACCCTGTTGGACAAGTGGCAC